TCGGATAGTGTTGTTGTTGTTGTTGTTCTTGTTGTTTCTCACATTAGCTCGAAGGTCCACAAAAAATGGGGAGCCCGTGGTCTCCAAACCGGGCACTTACGACGCCGGGGGGAAATAAAACGAAAATAGGGTACAACCACTCGGGTAAAGAAAACACAATGATCAAAAAAGGCAGAAGGAAATAACAGGTACCGCACCGACCGTTCGGGAAAAGAGCCTTCGGAAACCGATCAAAATAAAACAGAACAACAAAGGAGGACGCTTCCCACACCGGCCTAAGGAAAAAATCAAAGGGGAACGTGCTAGCACCAGGCACTACGCACCAGGGCATGGGAGGAACGGAGGAAACAGGATAAAGAGGCAGCAGATGGGCAGACAGCCATATATACAAATAGCAAAAGCAACAGCAAAGGCGAGATCAAGGTACCCAACACAGCAGAGTAGGGAGGACATGGAAAAAAAAAAACACAGCACAGAGGCCGAAGGCAATAGAAAGGACATACACAAAGGAGATAACATACAGCAGGGAGGGAAACAGGGCGCAACAACATCAGCCGGGTACATAGTTCGCCACAAGTGTTGCCTCGGCCGCCGTACTCGCTTCAACAGCAGTGCCCGGTCGTCGTTTCTTTCCCCCCACCGCCGCTTCCCCGACTCTCTTGCTCTTCGGTCCTGAGATGGCCGTACTCTCTGCTTCTGCTTCCCTCGCACGCTGGCGCTTCGCGGACGCTTCCGCCTCCTGCCTGTGCCATTTCCTGAACAGCCATGCCGCCTCATCCTCGACTTTGTTGTACCACACCTCCGGGTCCTTGGCGCTCTCTCTCCATTTCTCTCCTTCCATTTCGGCTCCCATGTCGAAGGCCACGAGGTCCTCTCCTAGACGAGACACCCAGTCGCTCTCCTGCCCGCCCCGGTATCCCACGCCCCCCGCCATCGCTCCTAACAGCATGCGCTTGGGGTGGCGGTTGTCCTCCATGCGCACAACAAAGCCCGCGAAACACAGTCTCCGTTTGCGCACGGTGGCCTCGATGGTTTCCTCGCAGCCTGCCTGGATGAGGGCCTGGGCAAAGGACTGTATGCAAAGCTGGAAGAGGCATAAGCAAATGACTGCTGCAGTACCAAACCTCCCGTTTGACTGCACGAAAGATCTGCCGTTCACCGTTGGGTCTCAGAAGGTCCGTACTTGGTAGCACATCGTTGATCTGTGTCAAATAATTCTCGTGGCAAGTGTGACTCGGTGTTGTTGCTATCCAAGCGCACATCTCCGGCCGTGGAAGATTCAAGGCCAAGACACATTCGGGGGCGTATGGACGATGTACGTATGGACGCGTGTCTCGTACAAATTCGAACAGCAGCGGGTAGAAGCATAGAATAGGGGGTTCAGTACAGTAGACAAAATAGCCTACCGCAGTAGCGGTAAAAAATAGGCGCAGCAGTAGTTGCAGCAGCACCTCACCGACAACAAGACACGGCACAACCTTCGGCGGTGGTGATGGGTGTCGTGTCAAACCTTGTCTAACAACAAGCAAATAATGCTCGGCAGGCTTGCTTCCGTTCGGCGATAACAAAGATCGTAAGATGTTTCCGCTGCTGCTGTAGTCTAGACTTGATGCAGCCGCGGATAGCGTCTTCCCATACTCGGGCGGCGTCTGAGTTGAGCCAAGGACCACCTCGCTCACAATTATCAGAGCAGGCCTCGCGTCGTCGTCCGTAGACGGTCGGACTTGGCTCTCGGCGCGGCACTGCCACCGCCACCACCCGTGAAACATCATTTACTGGAGACGGGTACCCACCTCCTTGCGGGAGCCAGCCCCTTGGATCGTGTTTGAGGTATCGGCATGTAGACCGCCTCTCTGGCTGAGTAGCTAAGTGCTTGAATCTCGGCTTCGACCGTGCTTTGCGCGGTTAGAGTTTGAGTCTTCGCACCGTAGCTGATGAGTCCTCCAGCCAGAAAGAAGAGATATCCCGTGGTAGATCTTCCGTTGTCGGGGTTTGCTCCGAAGGATGAATCCGTAAACGCCGCTAGCCGAAACTGTCCTCTCTTGTAGACGATAGGAAGAACTGGATTACCCCGAAGGTATCGCAGAACGTGCTTGGCTGCTGTCATGTTCACCTGCGCTGGGTTGCTGCAGGCCTTAGAAAGTTGTAGGGCAGCGTAGGAGAGGTCGAATTGCGTGCACTGGGCCAGGTAGAGGATGCTTCCCGTCATCGACTGGTAAATTTTCTTGTCCGTGGGTCCTAGGATTTGGTCCTGAGGTTGATTCGTGGAGATTTCCGCTCCGTATCCAGGAGTGCTCACTGGGTTGGCCTCTTGCATTCCGAACCGCTCCAGAACTGTGTTCACGTAGTGCTCCTGTGAAATGGCCAGGGTTTCTTGCTCCTAGTCTCGCTGCACGTCGATCCCGAGGATCCGCTTTACCTCTCCCATGTCGGTCATCTCGAATCGATCCGTGAGCTCCTTCTTCTTCTGGTCCACGAGCTGCTGGTCTCCTCCTGTGATGAGAATGTCGTCTACGTAGACCGTGAGAATCACGATGATGTTGCCGCTGGTATACACGTACACGCAGGGGTCGGATTGAGTCCTTTTCCATCCGAACACCGTGAGGGATTCGTCCAGGGTGTCGTTCCAGAGCGCAGGCGACTGCGATAGGCCGTAGAGGCTCCGTTCTAGTTTGTACACCATGGGTTCTCCCGTCGCGGAGTTCTTGGCGGATGTACCGGGGGCGGGTCTGACGTACACATCTCTGTCGCAGAGGGCGTTCAGGAAGGCACCGACAACGTCCAGTTGGTAGATGGGCCAGTTGTTGTGGCAGCCAATGGCGCACGTCATGCGAATGCTCCCGATACGGCATACTGGTGCGTAGCTGCGTCCGTAGTCCTGTCCTGGCTCTTGACGATGTCCTCCGACTACCAGGCGAGCTTTGAAGCGTCCGTCCAGCTTTTTCTTGAAGACGAATTTCGTTCCGAGGATCTTCTCTCCCTTGGGAACGCTGCTGAGGGGCACCAGATTGTAGACGTTGTGTTTCCGCAGATTGTCCATTTCCTTGCTGCACGCTCCTTTCCATTCTTCGCGCTGGGGAGAGCTCATGGCTTCGTCGTAGGTGTTGGGGATTTTGATCGCTTGATTCGTCTCCTCCAAGATCCCGTGGTGTTCGTGAGTGGTCGTGACGTAGGCGTGAGCACGCGGCACCGTGAAGGGGTCTTCCGCAACGTGGGCGAAATCCTCAGTATCGCCAGGGCATGGGAGCTGGGCTTGATCGGCTATCTCAGCCAGCTGAGTGAAGGAAAGACCGGATGGCTCCACGCGGCCCGTTGTAGCATGGGCTCGACCGCGGTCGTTCATGGTGACTTCCAGATTGGCAGGAACCAAGTTGACGTCGATATGATCGTCGCTGGTGGGCTTCCCGCGCGTGCTGGCTCTGGTGACTTGCAGGCGCCGCATGCCGGAGGATCCAGTTGATGCAGAAGTGTCCGGTTCAGTCGGGTTCGACGATGATGGACTGGGGCTAGATGCGTGGGTCTCGGATGACGATCCAGCTGGCGTCGATGGGAGATGTGGTGATGGAGCGTCCCCGTCGCCGAGATCTTGCCCGTTTCCATGTTCGTCCTCGTGCCCGTCCAGTTCTAGGCGAAGCTTCTCCCGAGCGAGATTGTCTTGCTGCATCTTCCGGACTTCTTGCCGAAGGAGTTCGTTCTGCGCCGTGAAGTCCAGGTCGCTCGTCGAGTGGGGGCTGTCCAGCAGGGAGGTGAAGCTCAGCACGTCGCTCTCGTACCCGTTTGCTTCAGTGGAATACTGGAAGGGCACTGAGCGGGGTGGAGATTCGATGAAAGTCACATTCCGGCTCTCGACCACGGCCCCGTTGGATGGATTCAATACCCGGTAGGTCTGGCTGTCGAGGCCGAAACCACATAGCTTGCCTTCGAAAGCTCTGTCGTCCAGCTTCTTTCGGTATCTCTCGTGGTGTACGAAGGCGCGCGCTCCAATGACCCGAAGTCCCGAGAGATCAGGTGACTTATTGTGCAACTTCGAGTATGGCGTAGCTCCTCCCAGTGCTGAGTGTGGGGACCTGTTCAACAGGTATGCTGCAGTCAGCATTAACTCCCCCCACATGGACGGCGGAAAATCTCCATCCTTCAGAAGACACCGGGTGACTCCGGCCAGGGTTTGTCCGTCCCGTTCCGATACACCAATTTGTTGAGGGGTGTTGGTGGCGGCGTACTCGAGCTTGATAGCTGAATTCTTGCAGTAGTCCCGAAATTCGGATCCGGTGTTCTCGCCTCCCTTGTCGCAGCGGATGGTCTCGATCCGGTAGCCTCCTGCCGCTGCGACGCACATGTTGTACGTGTGCACCGCCTCGGTCGTGTCAGATTTCTTGCGAAGCAGGTACACTTCTTTCATCTTCGTGTAGTCGTCGGTGATCTTGCACGCGTACGGGAAGGAGCCTCCTTTATATTTCGCAGGTGGATTAACAGGCCCCATGTTGTCGATGACCACAAGCTGTCCAGGCCGTGATAGTTCGCGAGTCGATTGCTTCGGGTGGGGGGACTGCTTGTGTTTCGCGATCTGGCAGACCCCGCAAGGGGAGAGACTGTCGCGATAGTCCACCCCGGTACCCGTGTCCTTCCGAAGGATGTCCAGGCTCCGAGCATTGAGATGTCCAAGCCTCCTGTGCCAGGTGTCCGCGCTCACTAGCGTAAAGCAGACGGCGTTCGCCGTGTGGGTCTGTGACTGCTTCTGGTGGGGCACGAGGGATTTCGTGCCAGATGGCTGGACGTTCTGCTCGAACGTGATGTCGAGGGTGCACATGCCTTGGTCTCGCGGATCTTGTGTGAGTGGAATCACCTTGCCTTGGATAGTGAGGTGCGGAGTGCTCTCTTCGACGACGCAGCGCAATCCCTTTTTCAGGAGGGAGGTGGGCGAAAAAATGTTGCGACCAAGTCCCGGAACGATGAGTCCCTGAATCCGCACGCGCAATTGCTGTCCTCGATTGTCCTTGACGGTGCAGTGTAGGATGCCCGTGGCCGTGCCTTTGAGTTGTCTTTCTCCGGCCACGTCCACGATCTTTGGAGAGTTTCGCTGGGTGTAATCGTGGAGGTTTCCGTCGGGGATGAGGCGATTGTCAAACATGGTCTCCGATGCTCCCGTGTCTACCAGCAGGCCTACCCCGGTGGAGCTCGCGGCGAAGTTGCGTCCTGAGATGCGGGAACACGTGCCGAACATGAAGCCGCTGTCAAAGGCGTCCTCGTCCCGGGTGAAGTCGACAACTGCCACTTCATTGTTTGAGTCGTGCTTGTTGGACGCCGACGAGCAGTGAGTGCAGTTGGAGCACGCGGTGAATGCTTTACTTGAGTCCTTGGTGTCTTCCGGGCGCTTTCCTCCTTGCTGGTAGCATTCCTCGTCCGAGTGAGACGTGGTGTTGTGCTTGGAGCACCACTTGGTAGCTCCGGCGGGCTTCGTTTTCTTCTTCGCCCTGTTCTTGATCTTGGGGCAGTTCCTCCTGATGTGCCCCGGCTCGTAGCAGCTGTGGCAGATGATGTCAGACGCGGTCGTTGCCATGGCAAATCCTCGACCAGCTATGCGTCCCTTCCATCCCTTGCGCGATTGTTCGTCCAAGAAGATGTTGCGCATGGTGGATTGCATGTCCAGGACGTTGAAGGTTGGGTCTCTGAACACCATCAGTTTGACGTCCTTGTATTCGTCGGAGAAGCCCTGTACGCAGATGTCCTTGAAGCGGCGGTCGGAGATGGGTTCTCCCATCTTATCCAGCTGGGTGCGAAGTAGGTGCTTCTGGTTGAAGTAGTCGTCGGGATTTTCACCAGGGTTCATGGGGTTGTTCTCCAGCTCCTCCATCTTGGCCCTGATGACCTCGTCCGTTACCCTGTCATAGTTGTTGCAGAGCTCCTCGAAGGCAGCTTGTCCGTCGCCGCTGATGCCAGTGTCGTCTTCGTGCTTCTGTATCGACAAGGCGGCTGGAAGTTCCACTAGGAGGAAAATAATGGCGTAGAGATCTTCGTTTGCCCTTGTGTAGGAGTCGAAGGCCGCTGTGTCTGCGGGATCTGGCTTCCTTTGTTTCTTCAGCAGTGGCAGGATGTCCTTCCTGGTCACACCTAACACCACGCAGAATTTCTTCATCCATGTCTTGAACTCAGCTGGGTCCTTTCCGTCGAATTTCTTGAGGCCTTTGATCACGGTTGCCAGGTTCGTAGAACTATCGCTGGCGAACGCGCTTCCACCTCCTGTGTTGCTCGTTGCAGTATCCATTGCTCGTTCCAGCTTTATTTTCTTCGTCTTGATAAAAGTACTTCCTGCTGTAGGAGTAAGTTTGCTCGTGGTACTACTGCCTGTACCCGAGACTTCCCCACCCCGTTCCTGCTACTGATATAGAGGACTCCGGTTGTGGTTTTCTTGTTTCCGATCCCGCTCCTGCGACTGATATAGAGGACTCCGGTTGTTGATCGCCTCCACTGATGATAAGGTGTAGTTCCTTGTACACCCGATGCGTATGCCGCTCGAGACTCCCGCGCACGTGACCCTTGCTGCTACTTCACCACAGAGATACCCGCTACTGCCACAGGGGTGGTAACGTGTGTATACGACGTGAACCCTCAGCACCTTGGTGTAGATGACCAAGTTTGCGCGTCTGCTTGTGTTGCCGTTGACCGATGACGGCGTCGCAATCTCCAGAAATCTCCGAAACCAGGTTCTCTCGTTGTCCACGGATGAAGGTTGATGCCCCGAGAAGAGGTTGCCTTGATCTTCCCGTGATGTTCGCAGCTCGTAGTGTGTGCGTTAGCCGAAGCTCATAACCTGTCAGCGATATTTCGCTGTGATCTAGCAGCAGCACGATGCTGCAGATACCAGGAGGCTGTGAAGCCTACCTCAGAGGTTCACACTCTGTGCGGCTCCAACCGCGAGAGACTTGGAATGGAAATATGAAGATTAATTGAATACTCCCGAGTCAGATTGATGTTGCTGGTACTGAAGAGGAGTGAGAGGAGTNCAGGCTCAGCAGGCTGTGAAGCCTACCTCAGAGGTTGACACTCTGTGCGGCTCCAACCGCGAGAGACTTGGAATGGAAATATGAAGATTAATTGCTTACTCCCGAGTCAGATTGATGTTGCTGGTACTGAAGAGGAGTGAGAGGAGTGGGCGAGCTTAGGGCTGCACCACTCTTCTCGAATACCGGACAAATAAGCCAATCACACGAAAGATCCAAAATGCGTCCAGAATGATTTCTGGAAGCCCTCCTACGTTCTAGAAGAGTATCAACTGCAACCTAGATCTAGAACGCTTCCAGAAGCTTACAGAAGGAACCAGAAGTTTCCAGAAAGACTTCCAGAGGCTACAGGAGGAACCAGAAGTTTCCAGAAGGCTTCCAGAAGCTACACACGTTCTACATAGATGTCCCGGTCAACCTGGACCTAGCATGCTTCCGGAATATTTCTAGAACAAGAGAATAGAGAGATGGATACTTTTCTACTGCTACGCAGACTAGTTGCTGCAATCGTATTCAAAGGTCAAACCGTGTCCGACTACTGGTGGTCTCGACGCACGATTTTCCTGACATGTTGCGCGGCGCCACAATATGGTGACATCTATTGTCAAATACGTTCTGTTGGTCAGTAGCATCTTGTGACAGGTGCACGACACGAGCACGGTAGTCTGCGACGCATTCAGGTATAATGCTTCGTCGTTCCAAGAGGTATTCCGTGTAGTCATTTTTTTATTTGCTCACCCACAGAGGGGCTTTTCTGCTTTTGCAAGAAAAAAGCTGTTTCGAGGGATCATGATAAACTACAGTCGATCCCGCTTGAAGGATGCTCGTGTTAAGGAAACTCCCCGCATAGAGCTTGTTTTGCTGAGCACCGGGGGCCCGACAGAATATACGATAATGGGGCAACCCCGTTTTTTCTGCCGCGCACCCTCCTTTTTTTGTGTCCTGCGGGCCTGCGGGCCGCTCGTTGCACGAATCACGCACGACGGTGAGTGCAGAAGTGGCGACGCACAAACAGCAGAGGGGGTTGGGAGCACCGCAGATTTCTGATGTCATGGGGGTATCGCACCATCACGTTTCATATTGGGGCGATTCTTACGTTGTGGCTGAGATTGAGCTATGTTTCTTAGCCTTTTTTTCTTATTTTTCGTACAAAGTTGAGCCTTTTCTTAACAGAGTTTTTCTGAACTGCGGGCGCTATCTGTTTTTGTACGCGAAGGGAAGGGGTGGCGAGTACCGTGAGACGCAGTACCTTCTTTCGAAAACCGTTCATTCGTTTACTCATGAGACTCAACAGAGCCGTAGAGCCAAGCCGCGGGGGGAGGTTCAGGGAACTCTTCGCGGCATGTGGAATGAAACGCCATCAGAGTAGCTTTGGTCTCCGCCGGGATAGTGATGATATGTACTGGTGTTCCTCGGTGAGACACTGAAATAAGCTCGTTTTTTTTCATGTTCCACAAGAATGAGATAAATACATGTTTACTTGGTTTTTCCTCCTTCTTCCGCTGCCGGTTATGCACTACACTAGTTGGCCAAGTACAAACTATTGCACTGTACCAGTTGATTTCAAAACGTCCCCGACTGTTGTTCATCTCATTTCAATTATTATTGTAAACATGTTTATTGTAAACATGTTCATTGTAAACATGTTCGACGTCAACAAACGGTTGCCAGTCGTCTCGGCGATGCTGACGTTTTGTACCACCTCCTTCCTTAGCAAAAGACGCCTAGTTTGAGGTATTGCATGCCTCCATTGGCCCCGAGGATGGTGAGCTATCGTCACCTGAATTTCAAGGACGCAACCTCGCTTTAAGTACGCTTTCTTCAGGAAAAACCATGTGCGTTCTTAAAGCGGGGTGGACTGCAGGGTAAAGCATTGCCCCCCCGCCCTCCAATGGGGTGGGCGGCCACACCGAGATGAATGACGGTGAGGGTTTGGAGAGAAGTTAGGGATAAGAAGAAGGAAGACGACACGTTAGAAGTGGCAAGAAGGGACGGTGTATGGGGACACAATGAAGACGTCAAGACGCTCGCGAAGAGCGAGGGGGCACAGGAAGGTGAAGCATCGGCCCCCGCGCCCCCAGTGGGCGGGGTGTGACAGATGTCGACAAGGTCTGCGAGAACGGCCGACGCTTACTGCGAGGCTATGGTCGATGCTGTCAATCAGTTACGTGTTGTACTGGATTACAGTGGTTCGGGCCTACCTTTCGACCATTGCACACGTACCCATTCGGCTCGGATCGCAGGGTGCCCGCTCTCAGACCCTGCAGGCAAGAGTACAGTGACGACCCTGTATTGCGATCCATAGACAGTATGCAGACCCTGTAGGGACCAGGGCTGTTGTCCACGACAGGAAATGGACCCTGCCCGCTCTGAGACCCTGCAGGCACGAGTACAGTGACGGCCCTATATTGCGATCCATAGACAGTATGCCAACCCTGTAGGGACCAGGGCTATTGTACACGACAAGACATGGACCCTGTCGGGCCTGTTTCGGCCTACCCTGTATAGGGCAGAGGCTCTCTATATGGTGTGTGAGGGTACACCTTGGTACAAGGTGATGAATAAGGTCAAGGCGGTTCTCCCATGTGAAGGTGGCGACCTTTATTATTATTCCGGGGGGTATACCGTGTACGGCAGGGACCCTGCGAGTAGTCATCTGCTTGGTGCAGAGAGGGTACCACCTTGCTTGGTGGAACGTAATTGTTATTATTATGTTCGCATCAGACACACCCAATCCACACAAGTTCTCGACGTCGGACTTATACCGCACCCACACCAAACGCTCTAGAGGACACGTATTCGTATAACTCGCGACAGGAAAACACTTGTGTATTCTCGCCGTTTATACCAACCACTTGCGCGTTCTCGCTGTCTGGTGTGTCTCGCCGAACCAGAAACCGACCTTTTTACGAGCTTGTGTGAATAAGAAAGACGACGCAACGGGTACCCGCACGCACCGCAAAAAACTCACGAGGACAGACTCAATTTTCAAACCACGTGCGCCCGGCGCATGAGAAACTTACAGCGGCGTCAATAACAGGCGGGGGCGGGAGATACAGATCTATCTTCCGTCCACGATCTGTTTTTCTTACCATCTCTTTCCTACACCCCCGGCTCTGCGCACGACATGTTCCACGCAACGCACAAAGATATAAATATAACCACCACGCGCCCCCCCCCCACCCAAAACCGTGCTAGCCTCTTACTAAGCAAAACTCTGTCACAGCCAAACGCTCCATTTCGCCATCAACAGGCGACACACTCGGGGGCACAGAAGGTGCGATTCGCGCCTTTTAGAAGTCGGCGTCCAGGGCGAGGGCGCCCTCGACGCGAAGAGGGCCAGCGTTGGGGTCGACCGTCTCCTCTCCGTCCGAGGCGGGCTTGGGGTTGGCGATGGCCGGCTCCTCTGTGAAGAGGAAGAAGTTCAAACAACAACGGGGGTTGACGAAGTGAGCGTTTAGGATATAGAGCTGGTGCGTGTCGAGGCGGTGCGGGGGCGAGCAAGAGGGAGGGATGCATGCGTGTGGTGTACTGGTATGACCAAACTGAAAAGCTGGGGAGGTTCCTCGCCGGGTATCCACTTTGGTTCTACATCAACGAACACCACGATGTACGTTCCAGGGTAGTCGTCGTCGCGGACAGAAACGAAACTTCGCCGACAGATGCGAAACAACGCGTGGCAACATGGGGGAAAACCTCCCCTCCCAGGTGCGTATACTCGAGGAATGGTCACTCCCTACATCGCCTGTCTTATGTGTGCTTTTTAGCTATACGCGACTGCCGTGGCGGCAAAACGCACCCCGCGGGACGCGTAAAAGAAAGCATAGGGGAACGCCCGGTGTCATTACTCCTATGTGACCCCGGTTGGGTCGTCTAGCTAGTAGAAGTGGAAGATGGGGGCCAGGGGGGCAAACGACAGAGTCCAATAATGGGAGAGAAAATAATAAAAAAAACTCTCACCCGTGTAGTACGGGGTGAAGTAGCGCCGAGCGTCGGCGTTGGTGATGGAGGCAGGGTCCACCGCCGTGAGCCCGTGAGCAAGGCGGCGGGGGCTCGTGATGAACCCGTATAGGTGGCGCCACATCCTATAAAATATTATCGTAAACAATATTGGGATATATGAGTAGATGGCGTATGGGAAAAGAATTGACATGCATCTACGCCAACACAAGACTCGGCAACACTAACTAAAGCCACGACACGATGCCGGGGCTATGCCGCGTGTTTTTCTTTGAACGCCCCCCCTCCCACAACAGCACCCCAATGATGACCGCCACGAGGAGCATTTCACAAGGTAGTGGTGAATGGGCTCAGCCTACAATCAGATATTTTTCGGCCCCAGTTTATAGCTGCAAGAGGGCTCGTGAGAGGACGCAGTCAAAAAACTGTGCAAGGACTTGACGTGTTCAAGGTGACGAAGGGAGCGGTGAGACCGGGCCGAAAAACATGTATCTTGTACAACGTAAGGAATACCTGTTACAAAAAAAAAACTCAAACACACACCCGGCACTCACGCTTCTTGGAACGCCCTCTGGTTCCTGGCTCCGAATCCGCCGCTCTGTAGCTTGGACCAGCTGCTCATCTGCCTCATAGCGCGACAGGCGATGGTCTCCGGCGCGCCCACGTCAGTGAGAGGGGGCATGCTCTAGCTCCGCGATGGCGTGCAGGGCGAGCGGGGTCGCGACCTGATAAGTGTGGATGGAGTACACGGGAATGCGAGGTCGAACTGTTTTGTCTGTACTTTCTGATTGGCGGAGGAGCGCATGTACGAGAGAGTAGGTCTACGCGGCTGGGACACGGCACTCCCAACGGAACGGACGAACACATTTTGACCCCGCGGAAAAAAGACATCATGTCGAGACACGAGAATAAGCGCACATGTCCACCTGAATCACGAACAGTATGCGTGGTGGGACTACGTACCTTTGGACTGTAGCCGCCAAGCGAAAACACACCAAAGCGCTTCCACGTACCTGGTTGGCGAAGTCGCGGCAGCGGCTGTTCTCGCCGAAGATATCGGCCATGGACAGGCCATGGCGGTCCTTGGCACGGAGGGCCTTCATCGCGCGGCGAAGGTCTCGACGCGGCGGGCGTTCTGCACATAATTAATGGGGGACAGGGCACGTGAAAGGCAGCAGTTGGTCAGACGGCACGGAGGTACGTCGCGATGCTCAAGCTTCAACACTCATTCGGCATGACCTTCACGGCCATAGACACTGGAAAAGCTTTGGGGTATACAAACTCTCTCCCAGGGACCACATACATACGCGCAATCACGCACTCAATGTAGACATATCTACACACCGCACCCGAAGCACACAAAACAATGAACTCCTAGCATACCTCGCCCCCGTCCGCATCCATGGTGTGCAGAGAAGCGCGAACCCCGCGGATGAGGTCGGACTCAGTCTCCGCTCCCAGGTTGGCTCGGATCCCGTCGTTGAGAGCGCGTAGGATGATGTGCTCCGCCAGGCCCAAGCGAAGGGTGGCGTGGAGCTCGCTCCTGTACGGCGAGATGTGCTTGGAGAGGATCGCCAGAATGTGGAGACAGAAGTCACCATGGCGCACGACACACGGCGGAGACACACAGTTTGAAACGGCGTAAAACCCGCAAGGGCGGCAGGACGTATGTACTCTGGCACAAGCATATATGTGCGTGGGTAGGCACATCAACGACGCAAACGAGGCACCGTGCATCCGTGGTCGCTTAACCAGGGGCTCTGCAAAAGGTGCCCCATCATATTTTGGGCACAAGGTATCGAGGGTAACGAGGATACCGGGGGCCGAGAAGAAGTAGTACACGACAAAGCGCGGTACTCGTTGGGCCGCTGAGTTCCAAACATTTATGTACAGGAGAAATAAAACGAGAACATGCATATTATCAACCGAGCACACGCGTTGTATACCTGGAAACTCGGAGGTGATGGGTCCGACCCACATGCAGCTGATTGCCACCATAACCTTGTTGTTGTTGGTGGACGGTTGCTGTCCAGCGTAATGGCGCTTCTTCTCGGGCCCCCCGAAAGCTTCGCTGAAATGCGCCGAGATAGTCAGGATGAATCCCCGCTCGGATAAACTCGCCGAAGTTGCCCTGCGTATTGATCGAGGCACCAGAAGACGGCGGGGGTGCCTGGAAAAAGAGTTGAAAAAAAATAAAGGAGCGAATGACACGCACGTGAGGGTTCAGTAACCGAACACAAACAAACGTCTGATGTGCAATCAATGCCTTGCGATATATATATATATATATATGATGTACACATGACATACACGAGTACGCACTTCACAACTTACGACGACCCTCAAATAGTGTGTACCATACTCACCATCAAGGATTGGGCCACGAACCGGAGCAGGTGGGCCGAGAGGCCGGACAGCACTGTCGAAGACATAATCTGACGGAGGTGGTCGAACACCTCGACCGAGCTCATGTTGCCATCGATGGTGACGGAGCTGGTGATGCTGGCACCCGCCATGGGCGTCCCACGAAGGCTCCCAAAGGGGCGGCGGCCGCCGTCTAGCGTCAAAGTCGGGAACGAGCCGCGGCGGGCGCTTTCCCTGCCGCCGGCCGCGCCGCCGGAGGGCGGCGCAGTGAGACGAACACGCCTTCCGCGCCGGCGGGGGGCAACATGCTAGTTCCACCCATCGGGGTCACGTCCCCCGATAGCGGTCATAGGAGAGGGCATATGAAAGGGGACCTGGGGCGCGAGTTCTTCAGACTCGTCGTCTTCCTCGTCTTCCTCCTCTTCTTCAGATTACTCGGAGTCGTCATCTTCGTCACCGCTTTCTTCGTCCTCCGTGTCCTCTACAGGTGGAACCGGTTCGTCGTCGCTCTGTGGTGATGAGAGAGAGGGGAACGGGGTGGCGGGCGGAGCGGATGCCGCATACGCACGAATTGGTGGTGTATCGCGGCGATGTTTCGTACGGTTAGAATCGCAGCACGGGTGGCCAGAGGGGAGGTTGTGGGTGAGTTGTGGGCATCCACAAGGTAGGGCAGGTTGTAGAGGGGGGTGGGGAGGAGGCCCCAACCTCCGCCAAACGGCTTGGTTGTGCAAGGATGGATTCGGAAGGTTGGGAGGCAGCCACAACGTCAGGCCACACGTCTTCGTTGTGCAAGCACAGATAACACGGGTTGGGAGGCATCCACAACCTTAGGCCACACCTCGTAGTTATGCAAGCACCGATGATGCAGGTTGGGGGGCAGCCACAAGCTGTATCCAGACCTCCTGGGTGTGAAAACACCGGTGGCGCAGGTTGGGAGGCAGCCACAACTCAAGGCCAGACCGATGTTGCTGTGCTTTCCCTGATCATAATGGTTGGGGGGTAGCCACAACCTGTATCCAGATCTCCTGGCTGTGAAAACACCGGTGACACAGGTTGGGAGGCAGCCACAACTTTAGGCAAGAGCGATGCTGTTGTGCTTTCCCCGATCGTAATGGTTGGGGGGTAGCCACAACCTGGATCTAGACCTCCTGGTTGTGAAAGCACCGGTGGCACAGGTTGGGAGGCTGCCACAACTTTAGGCAAGAGCGATGTTGTTCTGCTTCCCCAGTCATAATGGTTGGGGACAGCCGCAACCTTAGGCCAGACCTCCTGGTTGTGAAAGCACCGGCGGCGCAGGCATTCACAATCTTAGGCTGAACCTCCTGGCCGTAAAGGCACTGATGGCTGCGATAGAATGTGCCACGTGGATGAGGAACGTCCTTCCTGCCGAACTAGAAATAAAACAACCTCTAGAAACAATTGGATGACGCTTGCATTACGAAGATGATACGCATACGAATTAAGCAAAGCACGAAGTTAGTGTCACAGTATGTGGCGTCTTGCAGCAGCGGAGGTGGCGGTGCTGCTCTAGCTCGTAGACTTTGTAGTCTACCACAGAGGTTACACTGCTGTCACCGCTCTATCACAGAGGTTGGTCTACACTGCTGTGAGATCGGTAGGCCCGAGCGAGCTTTGGAAAGAGAAATGCAGATAGATGTTCTTATCAACTGACTCCCTGGTCAGGCTTGAATAGGTGCTAGATGAGAGTAAGCACAAGGGGCGAAGGCGCGCTTGTGTCTCATCTCAACAACAAAACAAAAACAAGAAACAAGCAGCAAAAACACAGCAGGTTCCGAGGGTCTCCGGAGTAATGGCCCGAGTACCGGAATTTCGGGGTTCGGAACAATAAAACAACTACAGTCTCGCCTGCCAAATTATCTCCGCTACAACTCTGTGCTCATGTTCTCTGCTGAGTACCATCTCTTCTTTCTGTGTTATGTCTACGGAAGGCTAGTTGCCGCAGTCGCACCTATGGTAAACTGTGCCTGACTACGTTGTAATAGTTTTCCTCGACACGACCCTTCGATTAGGCAAGTAGCCGATGTTCCAAACTTCACTTCGCCGCCATTTTTNGAATAGGTGCTAGATGAGAGTAAGCACAAGGGGCGAAGGCGCGCTTGTGTCTCATCTCAACAACAAAACAAAAACAAAAAACCAAGCAGCAAAAACACAGCAGGTTCCGAGGGTCTCCGGAGTAATGGCCCGAGTACCGGAATTTCGGGGTTCGGAACAATAAAACAACTACAGTCTCGCCTGCCAAATTATCTCCGCTACAACTCTGTGCTCATGTTCTCTGCTGAGTACCATCTCTTCTTTCTGTATTATGTCTACGGAAGGCTAGTTGCCGCAGTCGCACCTATGGTAAACTGTGCCTGACTACGTTGTAACAGTTTTCCTCGACACGACCCCTCGATTAGGCAAGTAGCCGATGTTCCAAACAACCTTCACTTCGCTGCCATTCTTGCGACCCCTCGATTCCCAATCCATATCAAAGAATATCGACCTCCACATGACTGAATCCATCCTGTGAGCAATACACGCGTCCAAAACATTCAACCATATGCGATCTTGTGCTTAATATTTTCTAGCACTTGTAGTCCTTGATGAGTTGCATGATGGTGGCGAATCGCTGCTTCGGGAGATGTTTCGTCGCGATGTCCGCCAATATCGTGGCACTAGGTTGGTGGTGAAGAGTCATCCGGTGCCCCTTCGTGAGTTCCCTGAGGAAGAAGAACCGGAGCGCGATGTGCTTGGTTCTAGAGCTGAACATCGCGTTGCTGGCCACAGTCAATGCTCCGGTGCTGTCGCTGTTGATGGGTACCGATCGAAAGGTCTTGAATCCGATTTCCGTCATGAAGTTGGAGATGTAGACTGCCTCGCGAGCACTGAAGCTCAGCGCTTGAAGTTTGGCCTCCACGGTGTTCTGTGCTGCGAGAGTCTGTGCCTTGGCTCCGTAGCTGATCAGTCCCCCTCCTAGGAAGAACAGGTATCCCGTGGTAGACCTGCCGTTGTCTGGGTTGGCTCCAAATGACGAGTCAGTGAAGCACGAGAGTCTGAACTGCCCCTTCTTGTACACGATCGGCAGGTCCGGCGTTCCGCGTAGGTACCGTAGTAGGTGCTTGGCCGCAGCCATGTGGACCTGTGCTGGGTTTGCGCATGCCCGTGTCAGTTGGTGCACTGCGTATGACAGATCGTAGCGGGTGCATTGGGCAAGGTACAGGAGACTCCCGGTGATGGCCTGGAATCTCTGCTTGTCCTCGGGTCCGAGTAGTTGGTCTTGTGGCTGCTCGGTTGATAGTTCTGCTCCATACCCGGGGGTGCTGACCGGGTTTGCCTGTTCCATTCCGTATCGCTGTAGGATATCTCTCGCGTAGGGTCCTTGCGATATGGCTAGTGTGCCATGTTCGTAGTCCCGCTGCACTTCGATGCCGATTACGCGCTTGACCTCTCCCATGTCTGTCATTTCGAAGCTGTCCATGAGTTCCTTCTTTTTCCTGCTTACGATCTCCTTGTTTCCGCCCGTGATGAGGATGTCATCGACGTAGATCGCGAGGATTGTGAGTTCGTCCCCGCTTACGAAGATATAGACACAGGGGTCAGAGTGAGTGCGCTGCCAGCCGAAGATGATGAGTCTGTCATTGATGGCGTCGTTCCACAGTGACGGGGACTGTGACAGGCCGTACAGACTTTTCTCCAGTTTGTAGACCATCATTTCACCTGTCGTAGGGTCCCTCTCCTCGTCGCCTGGCGCCGGCCTGACGTAGACGTCTCTGTCGGTGTACGCGTTCAGGAATGCAGCTACCACGTCCAATTGGTACACCTCCCATCCGTGTTCGCAAGCGATGGCGAATAGCATGCGGATGCTACCCAATCGGGTTACTGGAGCGTAGTTCCTTCCGAAGTGTCGTCCTGCTCGTTGGCGGTGTCCCCCCAAGAACCCTTTGCTCGAGGTGCCCATGGCGTAAGCATACGCCCGGACTTCGGCGAAGGGGTCTTCATCCAGGTGAGCAAAATCCGCCGCGTCAGTAGGGCATCGTTGCTGCGCTTGATGGGTGAGATCGAGTAGTTGATCCTCGGTGAGCTCCAGTGGGTCGGGGTGGCTGACAGCCATGGTAGAGCGGCCTCTGTCGTTCATGTTCACTTCCAGAGATTTCGGGATGCATGAAGGGTCGATAGGGTCATCTGTGGGTTGGTGAGTGCGCGTGGCAGGACGGGTCACCGTTAATCGACGCATTGGGATGGGGGCTGGCGAAGCGGAGTCCGTGTCTGTTGGCGTCGAGGGTGATTCGAGTGTCGTGTCCTGCGATGTCCTGGATGGTGTCGTAGTCCGCGGGTTGTTGTTGCTGTCAGCTCCCCCAGCAGCAAAGTAGTTGTCGGAATCCATGCCCGCGTTGTTTTGGCGAAGTTCTGCTCGGCCGATGTTGTCTTGCTGCATGTTGCGCATCTCGTGCAGCAGGAGCTCTGATTGTGTTCCGTAGTCCACTTTGTTGTCTTCGTCGCCCGTAGAGGTACGGCGTCCGAGCAATGACGTGAAGTTCATCACGTCCTGTTCATATCCGAGACGGTCGTCCCACCGGTGAGGGGGGATGGTGTTGGGTGGAGTCTCGATGAAAGTCACGTTCCGGCTCTCGTAGACCTTGTCTTTGCCCTCCACGTAGATCCGGTACGTCTTGCTGCCAGGTCCGTAACCGCAGAGCTTGCCTTCAAAGGTCCGGTCGTCTAGCTTCTTCTTGTATCGCTCGTGATGAACGAATGCGCGGGCGCCGACGGCACGAAGTCGAGAAAGGTCCGGGGTTGTGTTGTACATCTTGGAATACGGCGTGGCTCCCCCTAGCGCCGCGTGTGGGGTCCTGTTGGTCAGGTATGCTGTAGTCTTCATGACCTCCTCCCACATGTGTTTTGGGAAGTCTCCATCGCGCAGTAGAGCTCGAGTCACAGCCGCAAGTATCTGGCCATCCCTTTCTGACACTCCGATTTCTTGTGGCGTGTTGGTCGCGGCGAATTGCAGCTTGATCGCAGACTCCCTACAGTAGTTGCGCATTTCGTCCCCAGTGTTCTCTCCCCC